TCTGAGAGGAGCTGTGTGCTGAGCATAATTTAACAAATGTGATTTATTTTCATGCAGGTTTGCTACCTGTCACTTACATTACTTTGCACTGTTATCCATTAAAATGAGCCTGTCACTATCCCTAGCTTGGAGTTGCCTCCATTTACATCTCATTATAGAAAGATTGCTGCTCTACCTTCACGTTCTCTGCTTCGGGACCCCATCTGGTGTGTTCACAATAACATGCATCATTTCCCTCTGTGCCCGAGGGGTTTATAGCATTCCGACATGAACAAGGGACCACTTCAGTTGATCCTGTGTAAAGAGGTGGGGGTGATAATAGCCGACCACAGCTCAAGAAATCAAATCGCATGAGATGGAATTTATTTTCCAATCACTGTGAAAAGGAAGGAACACCTGCTGTAGGCCCCACCTTGATATTTGCAGAAGCATGCTGTAGTGTTGATGGTTTGTCACTAATGGCGTTTTTTTTTTTCAGGCAATGGGACATTTCTTATGACTAACAAGAAGCCACACAGTTCCATGGTAAAACCTCTGATAAGAGGCTATGGTATGAAATGATTATTTTAAGGGAAATCCTTCATATAATTTAAAGAAGACTCTTGAAGAAGCCACTCAGTATCTGTGTGTCAACACTTGAGCTGCTAAACATGCCACAAATCTACTGCATGATGAGTGGTTAATTCAGTTTAATTCTTCTGGATACTTTTTTACAAATATTGGAACAGCTGCTAAATACTGTACTTCCTTATGTTTGTCCAGCTGTGTTTAAGATAAATGTACATTACCAAGCACAAATCAAACTATGCACCAGAATGATATCTACTATTTATTCATGTGTTTAGACTTACAGACTGTCAAAGTTGCCATATTCAAAATAATTAATATACAGATGTGATCTAACTGGTCTGGTTCAAGACTGAGAAACAAAATTAGAGCTTTTTTCTCAGTTTAACTGGAAGAATTAGCACAGGATCAAGTGGGATGAACAGACAAAGGGGGGATAGCGGAGGAATGTGGTCCTTTGTTCTAAGGCTGATTAATGAATTTCCCTTCTCGACCACAGCTGGAGCTCTTGGCATAATGATACAAGGAGGTATTTGGGGGCTTCTGTGCTGGTGAGTTGATGTTTGGGGAGCTGTGCAGGATGATGTTTGTGGTAATAGAGGGATAATGTTTGTCTCTATTCATTTATGTTTAAATGATGGGTGTAAAATGAGTTATTAATGTTATGTAGCCTACTGATGTGCCCCACTTTTCCCCAGTATGTGGCTGGATACTTTAAGCATGGTTGTCTTGTATGAAAAAAGCCATTTGTATCCTTTGAATTATTTTCTTGTAGACATTCATACCACTGTCATATGTGCAGAGAAAATATAAATATATTATATTATCTTTATAAGTATAAAACAAAACATTAAGAACAATCTTGTCAGAATGCAAGTTTCACACCTCTGTTGTTTTAAACTTATTAAGCCCAACTTCTTATTACCTTGTTAGTGAAATTACAGTAGCTTCATTTTTACTACACAAACTCATCAAAGTCTCCAGCATTATTATATAATGTCTTATTGAAACACCGCAGAGCCACCATGGTATTTAGTAAGTGAGTCATTTGTATAAAAAAATGATAAAGGATAAATGACTGCAACAGCTAGCTACAAGTAATAGATTGACTGGTTGGATAGATGCAAAAACAGATGGTGTTTATCCATTACTAAGAAGATGGATGTAGCTACTGTCACTTCACCTACTGAAAATAAATTTCAAGCCTTGTGTTTGGCATTTTATTATTTCCATCTTGGTTTATTGAATTCTGAAGTGTTGCAATTCGACAAGAAGATAGAAAGGTTAGTTATCAGCTAAAGCTAGCAACCCTGCTGCTAATCCGCTAATTACAGCTAAGTAACTGCTAATGAAATACCAGAAATCCAGTTACCAAAACTGAAACACAAACTTCAAACCAGGCTGTAACACTTCTTTGATAATTGTGTTGAAAAGAATCTAAAATTCAACCCAACACAACAACCACAATCAAGAGGTCTAGTTCAGTCATTCAGATTAGCTGAGGTAAGGCCTACAGCTAGCAGCCTAACAAAGCAGTCACAGCCATCTTCAGTCATGTATAACTTTAAGACAAAATAAGAATATAATATTAACCACAACACAGCAATAAAATTCTGGCAAGGGACCAAAATCAAGCTGTAAACATTTTTAATTCTGCTGTAACAATGGACATTTTAACATGGGAGTTAGTGGGAATTAATTCTATTTTTGAGTTAGCCTCAAGTGGCTATTTGTGGAACTGCAGTTTTGTTTGTTTGTTTGTTTTTTATTTCTGCATTGACTTAACTTTTACCACCAGACTTTGATACTTTAAATTACCATAATGCTTACATAGCTAATTGGTTGCAGCAGTAAGACATATGAATGCAGGCAAGTAGCACACATATAAACTCCAGACGCTTTACTGGATTCTAACTGCAGTGCGCACGAATAAGTAAATGTGCATACAGTATCCTACATCAAACCTGATTCCAATGACTAAATGTGCGTTTTCCTGTGTATGGTTCTGATTGCAATGGTTTCCATGGAAACACCCAATTCATACACAGAAACAGCTCAGTCAATTCTCCTTGAGGTCTGGACCTCTTTCGTTTTTGGCCTTTCCTCTTCTTTCTTTTGCCCTTCTCTATCCTTCACCTTCTCAGACTTCTCTCTCCATCAGTCATGGACATAGTTTGTGGGGTTTCCACTGTAAGCTTGGCGTGGGTGAAAGCAGTCAGAGAGGGGGTTGGACAAAGAGAAAGGGAGAAGGGTATATGGGCGGGAGGAGAGTAGACCCATGGGACAGGCATCCAACCTGCTGTAAACCATAATGGCCCCATAACAGGCAGATTTCTCATTTCTAAGATGCTCAGCCCATATCTCATTTACCACTATGACAATCCCACTGAGACCCCTACAAGTCAGGACAGTGCACTCAGCACTGGAGGAGGGGAAGTGAAACCCAGTGATGAGGTAATTTGAAAAGAATGACAGAGAATAGTGATGAATTTCATAAACTGTTAGATTTGATTTCCACATCTACTTGTAGGTAAATAATTGCACAACAGGAAGGTTATTTGATTAGTCCATGCCCATTTGTGGCCTTTATTCTTACTTACTTACAATGCTAACGGTTTCACCAGCACGAGAAACTAAATCACCATTGGGTTACTGGTGTTCTTCGCCTCTTTTTTTGATGGATTGTCAATCCTAAAATAGGTCAGGAGCTGTGTGCATAAAATAAGCCTGCGGGCTGTTAATGCCCCAAAGGTAATGCTATATTAATGAAGACTGGGCATAGCGGAAGCCACTAGGAGCCTACCACACAAAAAGACCTAAGACCTCAACCAAGAGCAACCTTGATTCCTTTTGCACCTCTTGGTCTCTGAGCTGCAGACACCAACATCCTATTAATGTCTAAGTGGACAAAAGAGTGAAAAAACCTGACTTTTGAAGCTTCTAGCAAAAGGTAATCAGATCTGAGATTTTTAATGCTCATCCAGTGACTTAAAGGGGACCAGCTATACTTATTCCCCCAAAACATATTTTTATTCTTGAAGACCCACCAGCTCTCTCATTCATATTATACAGAAACAGCTGTTTTTGGACACTACCAACAAGAAAGCTTGTATTTTTTTGTTATGGTGCCTATGACGCTTATTATATTTGTTGCATTTGAGTAGCGAATGCCAAAGAAATGGCTCTGGAAATTTGTTTTCTTGGCATTCATTTGCTGCTAATAACAACAATATGTTTTTTATTTTGGGAAATTTTAAGATATTTCTGTCTCATCCAAAAGCGATGAGAGTTCTCTGCAACTCTCTTCATTACATTGCCACTGCTGCTCCTGTCTTCAGCTGTCAGTATGGCATTGTCCTGACCCTTTACAGAGAAGCATTGCTTCAGAACTGGTGGGCTTTATGAAGAAGGGGCCGTCAGATGCTTGTTTTGCTGTTTTATTGTCTGTTTCTTTAAAATCTACATGAAATACTGATTGCTAAAAACATTTTGCCAAGCTTGTATTGCATTTCTGTATTTTTTTTCTCTGCATAACAGCAAACTTTCATTCACCTCTGGGGTAAACGTGCACTAGTGTCCAGCCTGGCTCTCGGCTACCAGCTCTGACCTAGATCAATAGCCAGCCATGTATCATTAACCCACATCCAGAGTGTGCTTTGCTGGAGGCATGCAGCTGTGAAACCTTATAAACAAACAAACAACCCCCCACACACACACACACACACACACACACACACACACACACACA